CGGTCAGGGGGACTCGACTGGACCCAAACGGCGGCCATCTTGGAGAGGGGAGCAGTAGTACGGCGGGCTCCGATATGCCGGGGCCTCGGCATTCAGCTCGCTTCGCGGCACCGAGCAGCTAGACTATACCAAACTCTGCTCGCTCGCTTGCTTGCTTTCTTGCTTGCTTGCTTGCTTGCTTGCTTGCTTGCTAGCTTGCTTGCTTGCTTGCTTGCTTGCTTGCTTGTTTGCTTGCTTGCTTGCCTGCCTGCCTGCCTGCCTGTTAGCCTGCCTGCATTCCTGCCTGCCTGTCTTCCTACCTTCCTGCCTTCCTGCCTGCCTGTCTTCCTACCTTCCTGCCTTCCTGCCTTCCTGCCTGTCTTCCTGCCTTCCTGCCTTCCTGCCTTCCTGCCTGTCTTCCTGCTTTCCTGCCTGTCCTCTTGCCTTCCTGCCTTCCTGCCTGCCTTGCTGCCTGCCTGCCTTCCTGCCTGTTTGCCTGCCTGTTAGCTCGCATGCCCGCTTGCTCGGGCCTTTCCCTCTTTCTCTCTCTTCCCCCCGTTCCTCCTTTCTTACTCTTTCTACATCTCGGGCCTGTTCTCCTCCGCCGGTACTGCCTCCTCTTTCTCTCGCCTCACAGATTTCTTGCTTCCCTCTTCGTTTAGCTCGCATACCACCTTCCAGCCTATACCTGAACGCCCGGTATGCGAAGAACCGACTTACCATTCGCGCTCATTCCGCGCTCAGCCCTACGAGCCTCTTCTACGTCTGTGCCGAAGGTCCTGGAATTTCGTGCCGTGACGCGAGAGATTCTGGATAGTTTGCATGCTGAGTACAAACTGTCGTTTTTTCTACTGGAATCATTGAAATTCGACAAACTAACGCTTCCTTCGATCGAAGAACGTACGTACTTGCTATCTATGCGACGCTCTCTAGCGAGCAAAGCGTGCATGCTTTCGTTCCTCGAATCCCGAATTCGTATACTCGTTGCAAAAGTCATCGTGTCTGATAAACACGATTACGTCGCACCGATTGCACGGTATAGCCCGCGTTAAGATCATTTGCATTTTAACGGGAAGCATTAATTTTGACGATCTGTTAACGCGTCCCCTAGGAGGGTAAAATATCGATGCTGGTTGCATGATGCATGAGACAGCTCGCGACGTCGCCGCGTTACATCTCGAAGTCTGCTTTTTGGAATAATCGCGCGCTTTCGATAATATAAACATTTCGTAACGTTTCGTGGATAGATCACCGACGGTTTACTCCTGCAACGCAGGTAAAGTACCAGCGATAAATGCTCGCGTTAATAATTCCATACATCATCGACGACTCGTGACACGTCTGGTGCGACTAACGATCTAAAAATTCGACTTCCACCTCCCTCCTCTTCCTAAAAAAAGAAAGGACAAATTAACAAACTCTTCATATGGGCACGCGTTGGAATTTCATATGCGCCAAGAATTCAGATTAGCGCGCAGCTACTCGCAGCTCCGACATTTCATGCGCGTTGCGCTCGTCTCTGCCGGTAAATACAATATGATCGTGAAGAGCAGCAGCCCGTGCGCATTGCGCATCGAATTCGTCGGAATCTCGCTTACTTGTTGTCTCCCTGTTTAGAAGGAAATTAGATGATGCGAGAGTGCGACTCGAGTTCGAGATTCTACTCGACCAATGGAAATGTCAACGTTCCCGTGCGAAATCAAGCTGAAATGAAAGGAAGATCCATCGGTTCCGTCGGCTCGCGCGTCGCGTCTCGAGGGTCGAGGACCCTTGCTTGGCTCCTCTACCTGACTCTACGACGAGTAGGCAGATAAATCCGCCGCCTACTACTACTCGCTACGGACAATGCGCGCGAGATGGTGCATCATCGTCCGTATTGTTTGCACAGCCATCGGCCACACGGCCCGATCTCTCGCAGGTGCTGGATGCAGGATACAGATCCAACCACAAACGCGTAACGCGTTTAATGCGAACGACGATTACGCGCTTTGCTATCCCGTTGCCAAATTTTGATTCTTACATGGTACGTTAAACCGAATCTCTCGTTCGATCGATTTTCTTCTCCGAACCATATACGCATATTCGTAAACACACATATTCTTCAACATATGTATTTTGCGTTGATTCGAGTTTACCCGAAACCATCGATATCGACGACATACTATTCCTCCTTTTTGTTTTCTTTCGCTTCTCGTTCTTTCTTTCTTTCGTCGTTTTCTTCTTACTCTTCTCCGTTTTCTTTATTGTTAACATTTTTTCTCCGTTCTTTCATTTTCGCCATGATTGTCCTCCTAATTCTCCTTGACTCCGCGATTCTTTCTTTCTTCTTCTTCTTCTTCTTCTTGTTTTATCTCTCTTCAGTTGGATCGATATTTTTTCTTCTTCGTCCTGGAAGAGAAAAAAAGAAAAAGAAACTGTACAACAGAAGTGCTATTGTCACCGTTCAGACGCCTTCGCATTAAAGAACGTCAGGGATTTCTACGAAATCTTTC